ACCAATATTAGAATTGTATTGGTGACCAATACTGCACCAATATTAGATTTGTATTGGTGACCAATATAGCGCTAATATTCGATTTGCACTGTGGACCAATAAAGCGCCAATATTAGATTTGTATTTGTTGCCAATACTGCATTAATATTAGATTTGTAATGTATTGACCAATAATGTTACAATATTAAAATTGTATTGGTGACCATTAATGTACCAATATAAGATTTGTATTGGTGACCAATAATGTACCAATACTAGTGCATATTAACTTCATAGCTGTTATTGATATAAAACTTACCCACATTCAGAGCAAGAGAAGGAGCATATATAGCTATACCCATATAAATAAACTGTAATAAATGATAGTAGAAAATTTAGCATACATTGTTTCAATTCAGCATTCTGCATTAAATTTACTAATAATGAAAAAATGTTTTGTGTTAAGATGTGAAAAACAGAAAAAGATGTATAATAATAATAAAGTTATAAGAATTCTGTATAGTATGAATGTAGGCACAAACATATTAGTCAATATGATTGACATTCTGCATTTTTGCAAACTTTTTTTGATTTTGCCCTCATCATCTCATATATGTTTACAGCACCTTTCATATTAAATTAACATACCATTTGAGAGAGATACGTCATGCAGCCCAATATTCGAATAATTTTATTCTTGAAACGTAATTCCAGGTACTGTAATTAAAAAACATATATATTATACGAATCAAGGCACAAATACAAAATATATAATTAATATGCAGATCGAGTTACTTTGTAATTGAATCAGATTATCTTTCTTTTTTCTAAATTATTTTTGTACCAGCAATGTGGTAGTTGCCAACACTGTATCACCTGACATGTGCAAAATGGAAGTGGAAGTTACCGGGGTAAGCAAATCTGTGGTATTTGTATTTAAGACTAAAAGCACAAATGCACATAATCCACATCTATAACATAAGAGAATGCTTTGATTATGCTTTATAGATACATTTGAATACTGATTAGGTGCGATGTTTTTTTTTCTTTTGGCTGATTTTTTTGCCCACTGGTGACATTTCCAAACACATTCAGTATCATAATCTCCTAAATATGTCAAAACATGGCTCATGTTATGACTTGGCAGTGCTTTATTTAAAAAAAATCTTTAATGCACTTTCATTTTGATGTACTTTTCTAATAAACTATTGAGACAAATGTCTGTTTATGAATATCTCACTCCAATTTTCATCTTGATTGGTGTAATATTATTGAGCTTGTCAATCATTGCATCATGCAATGAACCCCAGGCCGGTGAAAATCATCACCAGTGTTACAAGTGTCACTCTTGTTTCACGGTCTACCTAGCTTTCGCAGTAACCTGGTTTTCACTTTTTAAATAGTCAAATGATATATTAATTTTATTAAAAACAAGCAGCTTCTCGGCTGAGATAGCTCCACTGTTAGCAATGCACATTTCAATTAAAGAACAGAAGATATCATTAGAAAATGAACAATATGTATAGTATCAAAGCAATGGGACTT